ACACACACACACACACACACACACCACATTTATGTCACATATATCACACATTCAAACCACATATTCTCATACCCTCTCCCCCCCACAGAAACAGACACATACTTACATAATCACATACATATCCCAAACACTCATGGCACACACATAAACATACACAGTCACACATACCCTGCCCACCCCCACCCAAAGTCACACACTCAGACACAATTACACACACACACTCATACTTACAAACATACACCCCACACATTCATGCCCCCCACAACACACACACACTTTCATACACATAGTACCTCCTACCACATACCACCCCCACAACACACACACACACACACACACACACACCATACACAAAACACACTACAAGCACATACATTCTCTCAAATGATGTATATGTATTCTACTGTAAATTTAGACAAGGAAAATGGCAGTCCCATGCTGTGTACTATTGCTTAAATTTTAAATTTTAGTGTAACCTTTTTGTTTGCCTAAAACTTAAGCATTAACTTTTATGAAAAACGAAATGCTTTATTAATTATTAAGGGTAATCTTATCAAGTTTATAATGTATTATTATTTTATAATAGTATTTATTGGGCCCAGGGTTCCAGGCTGGTGTTGAGCTCACTCTGTGGCTGAGGCTGACTGACTTCAGGCCTGTGATAATGCCCCTTCCTCTACCCAAGTCCTGGGATTACAAAAGAGAACTGCTACACATAGATTTGGACAGAGTTTCAAGATGAAGGAATTAGAATGAAATAAATGTGGGAAAGGAAAAGGCTTATGTGCAATTTGATCCTTTTCTATTAGGCCGCTGAGATAATTTAGAGTCACTCGTACTTCCTTTATTTTTCTCTTTATGGATTTGAGGAGCAGCTACAGTTAATTCACTTCCTAATCTTGTGCACTATGGAGAGTCAGGGTGTGTGATTTAGCCAAAGTTTCCTGTGCTGCTATTCTTCACTCTTAGCCTCCTTCATGCATGAGAGCTCCTTGCTCAACTTTTTGAAGAAGTCTGACCCAAGCATGGCCAATGGGTTCCCCCCTCTGCTTTCCAGGAGTTCTCTCTTGTTTTTTTTCTGTTGACAGATGAAAAAGAGAGACAATCGTTTGGCTAGTGTGTATGAATACATGTCTACACACATAGGAAGATATTTTAAGTCTGGGATTTGGTTTGGTTAGGAAGGAATAATTTCTAACTTTATATTTTGAAAAGGAAGTATAACTGTACTTGTAGTTTGCTCACACTAACAAGATGAAATAATATTCTAAATCCTGGAGTCCTGGTACACACTGGCAATCCTGTGTGGGAGGTGGAAACAGTCAGATCCCTTGGACTTCTGGTCAACCACCCCGGACTACCGGACGATCTTCAAGTCAATAAGAAACACCGTCACTCAAAACAAGGTGGACAGTTCTAATTAATAACTGCCAAGCTTGACCTGTGGCCTACACACACACACACACACACACACACACACACACACACACACACACACACACACAAACCCCAAACAGAAAATAATCATAGAAGATGTACAGTGACATTTAAATGCTAAATCCTAACTCAGATTTCCTTATTATTGGAAAATCCTAACTGAAAACTACAAATGTACTCATTAAGTACTTAATAGATGTGGTGGTATAAAATGCTGTATAATTTAATCGGGTATTTTTAGGATATTAATGTCATCAATTGGGGTTTAATTGTTTTTAATTGTTTAATATTTCAAAGTCTATCTGAGTTAAGGGTCAGTCTGGAGGCAGAAACTACCCAGGAATTTGTGTAAGAAAAACCTAGCCTGAGGAGTCATTAACCCTTGATGGGAACGGGAGCCACCATACTTCTATTGAGGAGTAACAACTCTAAAGAACAGAGCGGAGCCCACATAGGGAGTGAGGTGGCTGCCAAGCCAACAAGGGAGGACGCTAAAGCAGACTCCTCACCCCAGATTGACATGGCCTCAGCGACGGTGCAGCTCCAGCTCATGGGGTGGTGGACACTACTGAGGTGGCATACGTGTGCATCCCATCTGAAGCCACTTTCTAGGGTTCCAGAAGAAACTGTGAGGTGACGCCACACTGTGAAGCCCTGAGGAGGGTGTGTTAAGGATGAGGATGGCGAGGAAACTGTCCTGCCTGGCTGGTGGCTCTGCATTAGGCACCAGTTGAGAGACACCCCAGAGCCTCCATTGACCTCTGCTGAGATCACACCACGTGGAGGTCCTGGCCTTGCAATAAAGACAATGAAGGCAGGCCTTGGAACTTGGCTCTCTGCCTACCAACAAAACCACATTCTTAACTATCCTGTGAAACTTTTTCCCTGCAAAGGGATTTTTAACAAAATAAAGAAAAATAATAGGAACAGAAAGAAGCAAAACACGGTAAGGCATTCCATGGAAGTTTTTGTGGGTGCCAGTTAGGAGGCATGGACAGTCTATGGGGCCTCTGACAGTGGAACAATATTTATCCCTAGAGCACAAATGGACTTTGGGAGTCCATTGTCCATGGAGGGATAATCTCTCAGCCTAGATACACAGCACAGGGGAGAGCCTAGCCCCTGCCCCAAATGATATGACAGACTTTGATGATGCCCCCATGGAAGGCCTCACCCTCCCAGGGGAGCAGATGGGGTGTGTGATGTGGGGGCTGGTGGGTGGTATGGAAGGATGGGAGGGAGATGGACCTGGGATTGACAGGTAAAATAAGATTGTTTCTAAATTAAGTAAAATTATATAATAAAAATCTAATGTTTTTCCAGAATATTAACTACCTTCAAAATAAAAAGTCTAATTAAAATCTAATTATGTCATTTCTCCCCCTCCTTTCCTAGCCCTCCCATGTCTCCCCACCCCAATTCTAAGCCTCCTGCTTCTAGCCATTGTTGTTGCATATACAAATGAATGAATGAATGCATAAATACAACTTGCTGGGTCTTCTCAGTGCTGCCTGCCCCTTTGTGTTTCTAGGGCTGACTGCCCAGAATTGGTTAACTATTCAAGGGGCCCATTACCCCTATATCGCCAAGCCAAGCACTGCTTCTCACTCTGTATCCTGTAGCTCTTTGTCTAGGGGTGGAGATCTGTGAGATTTTTTTGTCTAAATTGGGTTGTACACTGCTGCTGGACTTGTTCAGGTCTGTTTCAGATAGCCAAGTTCTTGAGACTTTATGGGTGTACCCATGCGAGCTAGAAGGTACAATCTTACAGCATGCCTTCTGGTTCTTACAATCTTTCTGCCTCCTCTTCTGCCTTGCTCCCTGAGCCTTGGGTATAGGAGTTGTGTTGTAGATTTCTCACTGGGGCCAGATACTCCACAATCAGTTGTTCCCAGAATTTTGATTAGTCATTGATTTAGGTAATGATCTTTTGCTGCTCCAGAAGAAAGCTTCTTCCATGAGGGTGAAATTTCACTACCTGTGTGTATACAGATAAGTAATTAGGATGTAGTTAGGAATAACAGTGGTTTAGAAAAGTGGCCATAGTGGGTCACCTTCTAAGATCCACGACTTCACTGCCTGTGTGTAGTTTTCTGGGCATAGTGTTCCTCCTATTGAGCGAGCCTTGAGCTCGTTAGAGCCGTTGGTTACTGCTAATGTGTAAGTACCCCTATTGTACCTTTAGTGATGTCAGGTCACTGCTGTGGTCCATAAGCATCAGCGATGAGAAGGACTGTTGTTTGCTTTCCTCCCCTCACAGCTTGCACACCACCTTCTGTAGTTTGAAAGCTAGTCCTTGAGGAGAGGGCTTTGAGGTCAGCTTCAGCTCAAACCCTCTGAATCCTATGCCGGAACTATGTGGTGTCTTCAGCAATAGGGACCTATCTTCAAGTTCTGGGAGGCAACCGAGGGCAACAGCATCAGACAGTATTGTTTTGGGAATTTCTTGGAGTCCCTTGACCAACTATTTGGGAAAAAAAGAGGTTTTTGTTAGATAATCTATGGCTCTTGGGGGAAGCATTTTCACCCCAAGTGGTATAATTTAATTTTTAAATTATATATACACATTCATATATGTACTACATGTAATTTTTAGATAAATATAAAATAAAGATTTCATATGTCTTTTTCAGGCATCTTTTAAAAAAAATCCCTTCTAATTCCTTTTCTATCTCTGTGTTATCCTTTCTCACCTCCTCCCAACTAAATACACACCCCCTTTTAGTTTCTCAGAAGTTGTTGAATTTTTTTTAGGATTCTGACTTACTAACCAAAGTCTGAAATGAAAAATGGGAAAGAAAACCCAAGGCCATAACCAGAGATTGTTTTGCTCTGCAATTCAGATAAGTTTTTGATTCATAGTTCCATTTCCTGGTGCACTTCTGAAGCCAAGCAATATTTAGCTGAAAAGTGTTCCTTTGCTGTAATATGATACCTGTGTGGAGTAAAATGTGGACAAGTTTTGAAATTTCTGGGAACCCATTTCTTCACATGTGTAGAAACAGGACCTCCCTTGGAGAGGTGTCTTGGTAATGCAATGTGGTACTATATTAAAGAACTTGGGGCAATTCTTTGTCCCCTACAAGTGGTATGCTTGAAGAAAAGGAAACTTGTGTATCTTTTTAAAAGTTATTTTAGCTATGCTAATTCTTTCTTTGTTGCCAGTTTATAAAACTTCATGTTGATTCAGAGTTTTGTCAGACTCTCTTGATTTACTCTTTGCTGGAAATTAAAAACTTAAATGTGTTCATTTGTGTTATGTAATGTTTAGTGTAATGAGGTTCATTACTTAAGTTTTGTGTAGCTTTGGCAATCCCTGCTTTAAAATGATAGCATCTGAGCACAACATTGGCAAGTCCTTTACTTTATTCATTTTGTCAGGACTGTATGAGCAATATGACTTTTGTTAATGTAACTCTGATTTAGAACAACCTAGGTTTTCAATACAATGCTTAGCACCAAAATTGTTAAGTAGTTTTTAGTTTTCATTTTTAGTAAATATGTAAGGCATAAAAAATGTGCAAAACCTTTTTAAAAACCCAGTTCTCTCTTCTTTTTTACAGACAGCCAAGGAAAATACTCTGATGTAATCAAAAAGGCCAATGCAATTGAACTGTTATTTACACTCTACCCTCCTCAAGGTGCCAAAGTGAACATTAGCACAAGACTTCGGTCCACGTGGCTGAGACCCATTGTGGATGGAGAAGAAGGCTATAAGTACATAGGTAAGGAGCTAGCTTTGTTTTCTAAGCACAAAGAAGAAACACTTCCTTATGCTGTGTAGCATCCTCTTTACTTCCTGTGCATTGTGTCTACAGGTCTAAAAGTATGCATTTTGTACCCTCACTAGTGTAGTGAAATCACAGTGTGCTAAACTATTTCTGGAAGATGGACAAGTATCCATCTTTCAATTGCTCATGTAAAGACATTATGGACATCCATGTCCTATGCACAGACATACACATGCTTTTCTCTTGGCCATAGTGTTCCTGTGGGGCATGTCATTCCATGTCCCCCATCAGTAGGGGTACGAAAATTGCTATTTTCCATAGATATATTACCGCTTGCTGTGATCCGTGTTCCTGTGTTTACCAAGTCCAACAAACATTAATCCAGTGGTATCTCTTTAAAGTTCTAATTTGCATTTTCAAAGTAACTAATCGTATTTGATATCTTTGTATTTGCAACCTTAACTTTTATTTGGTGAAGTCTACTCAAGTACTTTGACAACTTTTATATTGTTCTGATTACTATTAAGCTTTGGAACTCTGTTGATATTTCTGGATACAAATCTTGCCCTGCATACAAGTTTTGAAGAATGTTTCATCTTCTCTTAAATTGCATTTTTTGAAGAGACTTTTATTTGGTGAAGTCCAATGGACCATTGTATTTCTTTATGACTTATGCTTTTTTTTTTGTCATTTTGTGCTTTGTGGTCGCAAAAGTGTTCTTTTATAAAACGTTCAGCTTTAGGATTTATATTTCAGTATATAATTGATTTTGAGTAAATTTTTGTATGTGACTCAAAGTGTATATTAAAATTTTAAGTGCATTTTATGTCTAAATTTTCCAACAGTATTTACTGAAAAATCTGCCCTATGAATTAGCTTTACATATTGGTTCAAGCCAAATAAAATGTATAATTGTCAACCATGTGAAAGAAAATATTCTTAGTACCATTAGTGGCAAAAGAGATGGAAATTAGAGCTTTTGTAAGGTGATGCTGCTTATCTACTGAAAAGGACATATCAGTGTGAAGTTGGACAAGGATATGGAGTATATATTGCTGGTAAAAATGCAAGATGGCTGATTCACCTTGGAAATATTTTCAAACTTTCCTATTATGTTCCGTCCATTAAATTTAGCCATCTTCTCCTATGGGGTTACTGAAGATAAATGAAATAATTTTTATATGTAACTTAAAAGTAAAATTAAGATTTAAAAAATAGCTTCTTTATGTTTTGGATATTATAATTACATCATTTCACCCCCTCTTTCCTCCTCCAAACTGTCCCATGTCATGTATACACATGATACCTTGTCCTCTTTCAAATTAATAACATACCTTGTCCTCTTTCAAATTAATAACCTTTTGTTACATATATATATGTGTGAAATAAATTTTATACAAAGCCTATATGTATATAATAGCATCATCTTAATTTGTAAAATCTGCAAACAACATAAATGGAATTTAATTGGCAAAAGGGTAAACAAAATTAAAAGTCGCTGTATAAAAATACTCAGAAATAAATAGGAATAAACTGTGACTAAGCATAATGATGTGGATGAGTCTCAGATACATCGTGATAATCAAAGGAGCCAGATTCAGAGCCGTGTGTTGTGGGCTCTGCTGCTGTGACACTCGAAAGAAGGAGGAGCCATACAGCAGACCCACGGCTGAGACTTGTTGAGCTGAAGGTTTGTGCTTGAGCTCCAGTGTGAGGAAGCTTCACACAGGGCCCTCTCGGAGTCATGGGCCAGGTCTGCATCTTGATCACTACATTTGTTAAGCATGTATACAGATGTTGCACAGCTTTAAGTGAGTCAAATCCCATAAAACTAGACACTGTACTATATGCACATTTAAAAAAAGACATACAGCATAAAGATAATTTTTCCCAGTGGTTCACAGCTCTGTTAACAGCATTGGGGAATTGTATACCAGTCCAGAGTGGGGTACTAACACACCTTCCTTAATGACTAATATTAGATGGCTGGTCATCCCAAGTGTTAGCAATGATATGTAACTACTGGATAAACCACCATTTTCCTGGTGCAAAACTGAATTGTCATATAACCTTCAAAAAATTGTCATTCTCTTGAAATATGAAGCATATGTTGTATCATTCAGCATAACAGACATGGCTATTTACTTAAAAGGAGAGACTTGAATGACCAATTACAGGGGTGATACATTAATGCACAATATGTATAAATGCAAAGCAAAACCAAAAACTCTTAAAACTAGTAAAACACATGAGAATGTGTATACATGACATAATCCTGAGGAATGAAACAAGCCGGACAAAAGGGGCTGCATGCTGCGTAAGTCTGATTCTATTCAATCTGGGAAAATGTAGAGTAACTCATAACAACTGAAGGACATGGATAGCTTTGTAAGAAAGTAGTTAGTGTTAGGAGCAACAGTTAATGGATTAAACAGTTAAGGGTGAAGGAGATGCCTAGAATTTTGTTTGTGTAATATTTTCATGGGAAAACTGTCAAAACCGATGACATTGTACACTGTAAATGTGTGTCACTATTACTTACCATCTACACCCCAGTAAAGTTATCAAAGGAAATATGAAGACACATTTAAAGAATGAAAATATTAAACTTCTATTTTGGTAATGTTTTTAAAAAGATCCCTTTCTTTGTAAGTGTTCAAACTTGTGTACTAAACTTTTCATATAAAGTGAGTGTTGGTCCAGGGGTTGAGGCTCTCACTTTGTGTGCCTTAATTCCAACCTCTATCATGGCTAATAAATAAAAAGAGTCACAGAGTCACGTGTCACTGAAATGCCATTAGGCTGGTGTATAGGAATGCAAATTAATATGTTCAGTTCAGTGGTGCTCTAGTGGAAAAATTTAAGGAAAGAAATGATTTTTACTAAAAAGATGAAAAGGAGCATTTAATTTGAAGGTTTATGGTCCTGTAAATTAGTCAACACTCTGGTTGCTATCAATTTTTCTTGCACCTTTCTACCTAAGCATACTAGAACTTGACCTGTGTTAGGCTAAAGATTTGTTTTTAGTGTTTAGAGCCAATTTACTGAAGCTTTGTCATACTAAACACAAAGGAAATATGATAGTGGCTTATGTCCTATGTTGAGGATTCTTTCATTATGAGTTTCTAGGCTGATTTGACATTCCACCTTTTTGGGAAAATGACCAGAGCCTTGTGTCATTTTCATCATAGTTATTATGAAGTTGACTGACAAGAGAATTGAAGCATTTCCCTTGAAAGAAATCATTCTGTCTCAGAAGTGCTTTCTGAATCTCAGCAACTGTAAACACATTCCAGGAGCTAGTTTTTGTCGTGCTCCCACATTAACCCTCGATGGTGTAAGTACTCGTGTTTACTGGTTTCACTCTGGAGATTTGGTGACCAAGGACCAGTTAGGAGATATTCCAGCTCTTTATACAAGCCTTGAGTGGCTAACACATTGGTACGCCTTCTATGAGGATTTTCCTTTCACATTTGTATTTTTAACACCCCAATTCATAATTGAAGAGTGTGCAAGTGTAACAACCTCAGAATATGTCCTTCATAGTTATAATTTGCACACAGTTTCCTTTAATGGTAATTATGTAACCTTAGACTGTGTAGAAGACAGTCTTGAATTTTTCAAGGATATATATCTAACGACAAATTTACAAAGGCTGTTTGGAGAAGACTTTTAAAAAACATACCTCTGGTTATTTTTTTCCTTATATACCATCTGCCCTTCAACAATCTGACCTCCTGCCCCCCACCCTCTGCCTCACATACAAACATAGGTCAAAATTCTTGTCCTATATTAAGTGTATTTGGTGTGTGTCCTTGGTTAGCTTTCAATATGGAAGGTATAGACTTTATTGTAGAGTATCTTATCCCTATAATTCATGGAGTTTTCATGGGAGTTGCCTTAAAGGGATGCATGAGCCATTATATCTCCGGGAAACCATTTAGGGAATGCAAATGGATAATTATAAATATCTTTCTCAAGTCAATCACCATTCCAATGAAATCATATTATTGTATTGCTATATGTGTTATTTTTAATTAATTCAGACCATGGATAATGAACAAAAAAATTTTTTAATGAACAAATGTCTTAAGGTCTACTTCTTCAAGCATATAATTTGCAATGTTTCATACAATGAATTCTACTTACCATTATAACATACAGAATATTTAAATTAATGGCCAGTACTAAAATCTTTTTTTGTCACCCATTTTAAAAGCACATGTTGAGCTGGGCGGTGGTAGCATACCCCTCTATTCCCAGCACTTGGGAGGCAGAGGCAGATGCAGGCAGATTTCTGTGAGTTTAAGACCAGCCTGGACTACAAAAGCTATTCCAGGACAGCCTCCAAAGCCACAGAGAAACCCTGTCTTGAAAAACAAAGCAAAAAAACAAAAAAACAAAAAGGATATTTTGAGGAAGACTGAAGAAAGAATAGGATTGGGAAAATGCAGAATCAAAATACAAGGACACTGTTTTCTCTAGACGTCTACCTGCTGAATGTGGTAAAATATCTTTATGGTCACTGAGAAAATTGGAGATGAAGACCAAATCCTGGGAAGACCAAGCTACAACCTTTGTTGATCGATATCACCTGTAAAGTTTCAGACCAGGTCCATATCAACCTGGAACAAATTCACAGCCTCTTGTTTCCTGTGGAAATAAAAGCAAAACTGCTTCTCCAAAGTATTTTTGTTTACCATTTGACAAATACATTTTTTTTATTTTTTACTTTTTTAAAGTTAAGGCATTCCTAAAGTATATAGGCTGGTTTATTTTAACAATCCCTCTGTCAATTCCAGGTCTCTTATCAGCTGTCCATTGCTTTTCAGCACTGAAAAACTTTAAAATCAACACAATACTATACAGAACCCAGGCTCCCATTGTATTTCACATCTTTGTGTGACTTTTTTCTTTTACTCTTACTGTCTCTTTAAAGACTTTGTAATTTTTAATTGATTTATTTATTTTGTTACTGCCTATACTAATTTTAT